TTGGCACTTGAGAGAAACCCCTGAGATAAAGTTCAAGAAGCTGTAAGAATGGGTTAGCAGTAGTCGGTGGAGCTGAAGTAGTTTGATTTCTTCCTGTGCCAAATCCAGAAAAACTGAATGTCTGTATTCCGTTGGCATTGTTGTTCAGCGACTTAAATATAAAATAAATTTTTATTAAAAAAGTTTTGATGCTTAAATGAACAATAATGCTTACAATATGTGACACTTTAAGGTTTGAAACTTACGTTTTCGCGTCCGAAATTGCGAACGAACGATTGAAGAGTTAGTACAGTTACTCGTGCATTCGTTTCAGTAATTGATAATATTGTACTGAAAGTGAAAGAAAATATTAACAGATATGTAAACTGAATGACTAATATGATAACAGCAAATACTTTAACTTACATTACTGTCAATACAATCAAATATTTAGTGATAACGAATGATAGCATAATAAGCAATCCAAAATTCCTGCAAATACGATTGGCAGTGTACAATTGGTAGTATTACAATAGGGCTCATGTCTTCATTGCATTCTATTTGAAGGAAATATTTGTAGATGCCGGAAAATATGTCTGCTCAATTGATTTATTGACTAGTTAAAAACTGAACTTTACTTGTAATTTGACAAGTAATTTCAGCAGAATGCTGAAATATATGGTGAATAGATCTATGATACATACAAGCTCCGTTGACTGGCTTAAATTTTATCCACGGAGTGAAACCATTTAAATAGTTCGTTAGCAGGGAGAAGAAAAGGTCAAATAGGGAACGATCGTGAGTAATACCATTTTATAATTTATTTGTAACCACTGACAGTTGATATAAGACAAACTGTCGCATTTTAAAGATTATGTAACTTCAAAAAGTGTCTCAATTCAATGTTATTTATAAGAGAATATAACAGTCGTTGATTCAATGTGTATCTGAAATGGAAATGAAAGACCAGAAAATTCACTTGATTCCCAGAAAGCAATAATTATACTCTGCAAAAAGACACAACTCGCATTTATGACGGTTTAAACAGTTTTTAATGTCTTAAAGTCGGACATTTGTTTTCCGGAAAGAGGTAAAATAATGGGTGGATGGATGAACAGACAAACTTTTTGAAAAAATCGCCAAATACATTTCATTCAAATAATTATTTTGATGAAGTCCAACTGTTCAACGTATTCTACGTCTTCCTGATCACGGCGCACATTTGATGCAAAC